TCGTATGACATTCCTCTAAGACCAGGAATCATTCTTGTGGCCCTACGCAGCGTGACCTTTTCTAAGGCCGCTATGTCCTTTTTAAGATATGGTGACCAAACCTGTACACAATATTCTAGGTGAGGTCTCACCAAGGAATTGTATAATCTTAGCATTACCTCCCTTGACTTAAGCTCCACACATGTGGAGATGTACCCCAACATCCTATTGGCCTTTTTTATTGCTTCCATAATATTATGGTATGGGGATTACAGTTGCTGTTTTGCAAATAATTACTATTTGAGAAATGTTCTGAAACAATTGAGAAAAACTGTAATACTGCAGAGCATGCCGCTATGGGAATGGAGAAGGATCTGAGTGCAGAGCTGCCATTTTAGATCAACAGCAGTTTCACAACAACAGTATCAGCTCAGCAGTGTTCAATGCATGTGCAGTACGATATCTTGTGAACCTGTGAACTGGCACTATAAAATTCCATGGAGATGTGCCATCCTGGTTGTTTGTGTGTGTCGCCATGCATGATACCCTTCTGGAAGTATTGGAGAAGTATTGCCAATATATGAGTGCTGTCACTAGTGTTGAACGATGTTGACATTTCGTTATACTTTTCTGCTTCTTTGAATAGGATTATGGTTGTATTTATGCAACTTTTGATTACACTTGAAAAGTGTTATATTTTACATTTTACATTTTCTTCAAGAGTTAAAGGACTATGGCATCACACTTAGTAAAATTAAGAACAGGAAAGTGGTAAAAATATGTTTGTTAATTATACTTTTGCAGTGTAATTTGTGATATTCATCCTGGTTGGCCTCTTTACGTGTGCATTGTTTTGTGTATTTTGTTCATTTGGTCAATAAAAGGATTTTTTTTTAAATACCACTTTTGCACATGTTGCGACAGATTTCATTGCCCATTTTGTTTGTAAGTGTTAACAAAAATATATAATGTTAGGAAGGATAACTTTAGTGGTATGAGACTGTAAAGGACACGAGTAACATACCATAACATAACATAATCCATTGTTGTCTATGACCAATATACAGGTATTTGTAACTGAAGCTGATGTGCTACAAAGCCTAGCTAAGCTCAAAATAAATAAATTATTGGGCCCTGATAGCATCTTACTTATAGTTTTAAAAGAAATGAGGGCTATTATTTGCCAACCTTTAAGTTTACTATTTCAGAAATCCTTATCTGCTGGTGTGGTACTTTCTGATTGGAAGCATGCTAATATAACACCAATATTCAAAAAAGGGGATAAAAGTAATCCATCAAAGTATAGGCCAATTACAGTGGTATGCAAAAGTTTGGGCACCCTTCGATAAATAACATATTTTGGTCATTTTTAATGGAAAAGATGTAAACACAGTCTCTGTAGGAAATAAGAAAAATGCACTATATTTTCACCAAACATTGATGCATAGTTACTTTTTATGTCATAAATTGAAAAAAGATAAAAAATAAAAACATTATTGTGGCACTCTGCAAAAGTTTGGGCACCCTACATAATCAGTACTTAGTAACACCTTCTCTGGCAGATATAACAGCTCGCAAATGCTTTTTATAGCCAGCTAAAAGTCTTTCAATTCTTGTACTTGGGATTTTCTCCCATTCTTCCTTGCAAAAGGCTTCTAGTTCTGTAATATTCTTTGGTCGTCTTGCATGCACAGCTCTTTAAAGATCTACCCACAAATTTTCAATGATGTTTAAATCAGGGGACTGTGATGGCCATTCCAAAACCTTCAGCTTGTGTCTCTTGAGGTAGTCCTTGGTGGATTTCGAGGTATATTTCTTTTCAGGGGTTGGGCTTGGCCCCTTAGTTCCAGTGAAAGGAACTCTTAATGCTGAAGCATTCAAAGTAATTCTGGACAATTTGGACATACTCCCAACTTTGTGGGAACAGTTTGGGGATGGTTCCTTCCTGTTCCAACATGACTGCACTAGGGGTGGAGCCGAACCCGAATACGGTATTCGGAAAGGCACAAATAATGTGTTTTTTACGAATACTTATTTCGAACAAATACTTAAAAAAAAAAATTGTATTCGGGAACAAGAAAAACTTTATATTAAAAAGCTGCGTTTCCTCTTGAGACCGCAGTGCATGCCCGGATGAGTGAGTGAGTGAGTGAGTTCAGGAGTCGGGGGGGGGGAGTAAAAGAGGTGACTGACACAGGCTGCTCCACACAGCAACAGAGAAGACTCGGCTGAGCGAAAAAAAGACTTACTGTAACTGTATCACTATTTTTGTTGAATAGATTTTTGTACCTTAACTGGGTTCCGGAGGCAGTTTATAACTTTTGGGAAGCGGAGTTTGATCGGGAGATTATTCCATTACGCTGCATTATTGACGTCTGCAGTCAGGTGTTCTCATGTTCGCTCTGTTTACGTAGCTCTATTAGCTCGGTAATTTAAACAATAGGCTGTTGAAAGAGTAACGTTAACGTTTGGTTAAAAAGGTTAAAACAATGCTTGTGTAGTTGTGTCGAATTGTATGCACTTGTAGGAGTTATATGGTACGTTTAAGTTACTCTGTCTACTGCATATCCATAATTATAATTAAAGAATACTTACACTATAACGTAAATTAGAAGTGCAACGCAAAAAAACTGGATTTTTATGCCTATTTTGAATTTTACTCGAATACGAATATAAATACAAATACTTTTCCCCCCTCAACAAATACAAATACAGATACAAATACCGGCTGCTTTGCACACCCCTAGACTGCACACCAGTGCACAAAGCAACATCCGTAAGGTTGATAAGCGATGGATGAGCGAGTCTGGTGTGGAGGAACTTGACTGGCCTGCACAGAGCCCTGACCTCAACCCGATAGAACACCTTTGGGATGAATTAAAGTGGAGACTGTGAGCCAGGCCTTCTCGTCCAACATCAGTGCCTGACCTCACAAATGCTTTCCTGTAAGAATGGTCAAAAATACCCATAAACACACTCCTAAACCTTATGGACAGCCTTCCCAGAAGGGTTAAAGCTGTTATAACTGCAAAGGGTGGGCCAATTCCATATTAAAGCCTATGTATTAAGAATGACATGTCATTAAAGTTTGTGTGTGTAAAGGCAGGTGTCCCAATACTTTTGCCAATATAGTGTATATTAAAACGATTTGTTGTGGTATCTGTCTAGTAGACCTCTGGTACACATAACAGTCCTGAATTTCTGCACAAATATATTTCAGTACAGTTGAAACCAGAAGTTTACATACAGTACACTTCAGAAAGACACAAAGACTTTTTTTCTAACTGCCGAACATTAAAACTAACTTTTTCTGTTTTAGTTAGTCAGTTAGGATTACCAAATTTTTTTGTATTTGTTAAATGTCAGAATATATATATAGAGATAATTTTATGTTTTATTTTTATTGCTTTCATCAAAGGCATCAGTTTACATACACTCCCTTACTATTTGGTTGCATTGCCTTGAAACTGTTTCACTTGGGCAAAACGTTTTGGGTTTCCTCCAACAAGCTTCGCACAATAGTTTGCTGGAATTTTGGCCCATTCCTCTTGACAGAACTGGTGTAACTGAGTCAGGTTTGTAGGCCTTCTTGCTCACACTTGCCTTTTCAGTGCTGCCCACAGATTTTCTATAGGATTGAGGTCAGGGCTTTGTGATGGCCACTCCAATACGTTGACTTAGTTGACAAGCCACTTTGTAACTAATTTGGAGGTATGCTTGGGGTCATTGTCCATTTGGAAGACCCATTTGCACCCAAGTGTTAACTTCCTGGCTGATGTCTTCAGATGTTGGTTCAATACATCCACAAAGTTTCTTTTCTCATGACACTATTTTGTGAAGTGCACCAGTCCGTCCTGCAGCAAAGCAGCCCCACACCACGATGCTGCCACCCCCGTACCTCACGGGTGGGATGGTGTTCTGAGGCTTGCAAACTTCCCCATTTTTCCTCCAAATATACTGTTGATCATTATGGCCAAACAGTTCAGTTTTAGTTTCATCAGACCACAGGACATGTCTCCAAAAATTAAGATCTTTGTGCACAAACTGTAGTCTGGCTTTTTTGTGGTGGTTTTGAAGCAATGGCTTTCTTGTCGCTGAGTGGCCTTTCAGCTCATGTCAGTACAGGACTCGTTTTACTGTGGATAATGATACTATCTTACCAGTTTCAGGCAGCATTTTCACAAGGTCTTTTGCTGTTGTCCTGCGTTTGATTTGCACATTTTGCCCCAAAAACATTCATATCTGGGACTCAGAATCCGTCTGCTTTCTGAGCAGGACGATGGCTGTATACTCCCATGGTTTTTATACTTGCAAATTATTGTTTGAATGGATGAACGTGGGACCTTCAGGCATCTGGAAATTGTACCTAAGGATGAGCCAGACTTGTGGAGGTCCACGATTCTTTTCCTGATGTGTTGGTTGATTTCTCTTGATTTTCCCATGATGTCACAGAATGAGGATCTGTGTTTGAGGTGTGCCTTAAATACATCCAAAGGTATGCCACCAGTTAACTCAAATGGTGTCAATTAACCTATCAGAAGCTTCTGGAGCTCAGACTGGAATCATCTGGAATTTTCTATGTTGTTTAAAGACATAATAAACTTAGTGTATGTAAACTTCTGACTTTGATGAAAGTAATAAAAATAATAATAAAAAAATTCTCTCTCTTTATTCTGACATTTAACAAATACAAAAAAATGTGGTGATCCTGACTGACCTAAAACAGAAAAAGATTACTCTGATTTAATCTTTGACAGTGAGAAAAAATATGTTTTTTGTGTCTGTTTTTGAAGTGTATGTAAACTTCTGGTTTCAAATGTACATCTCTACAGCATAAGCATTTTTTTGTTATTCAGTCTTGTACAATGCAATCTAAATTAACCTTTTCTAATACCTTTATTCATTCAGGTGTGACACAGAGAAGTTAATTGATTTGATCAAGGAGACAGAACCTCTGATCACTGACTCATGCATACCTCAGTTGAAACACCTTTTAAGCCGGCTTCAGGAGAAGCTGAACCAGCCAGATAACCACAGGTTTTCCCTGTTTAAGGTAAAACTTATACTATTGGACTACATTATGTGATTTTTGAAGCTGACAGTTTACTGGCAGTATAAAGAGCAAAGTGCATTTTAAAAAAGGACACAGATGGAAGAATTAATTCAGTTGCTATTAAATGTCATGTTGTGTGATTAAAACTGGACAAATCTTTGACATATTAATAGACACATTGTCCATTCAATATGGGAAACCTTATTTATAAATTTCACAACTTGAAATGAAGTTTGTCCATAACACTGGCAATATAATATAGTTGAATATGCAGAAGTTATATTTTCAAACCAAAAGGTTTGTGGTTTTACTTCTACAGTTTGCAACAGATAATATTCTGTTTTATATATTTTGTAGAACTGTTTCTACAGTATATTACAGTTATACAAAATCTTGGTTTCTTGCCTTCCTAATATTGGCCAGCCTGTTATATACAAGAACAAACCAGTAGATGGCAGTATGGGATAGAAGCGCAATACTATTTGCTGCACAGAATGCAGGATACACATAAAAATTACATTAGAATGAATTTGAATGAATGAATGCAGCAGAGTGGGGTCTTACTTTACTGTTTTCCTTACATGTTTCCTTATCTTTGTTAGAAGCTACAGGCACATATACTTCCTCTCACTAATGTTGCCTTCAATAAGTCTGGAACAAGGTAGGCTTATCAGTTTCATATATCTTAAAACACTCCCCATTGTTTGATTTGTCATGAAGGACAGCAAAACAATATCTTTCTCTGTTCCATCCCACTGGCTGTAGGTTCATCACTGCCAGCTATGACAGGACCTGTAAGATATGGGACACCGCATCAGGAGAAGAGATCCATACACTAGTTGGACACAGGAATGTGGTCTATGCCATTTCCTTCAATAACCCATATGGGTATATAGTTTATCACCTTTACTCGCTATTTACTCATAAACCCTGTTATTTGCTCATCTGAGCAGCATGCATCCTTTTAGTGATAAAGTCCTACTATACTCATACCTACTAATGTGCTTTATATACATTACTAAACTCTGCATACACCTACTATTGTTCTGCTTTATCTCTACAGAACTCACAGTTCCTCTGAAGAATTTTTCTAATCAGAATTCCCAAACAATATTAGAAAGGATACTTCTCACGATGGATCATTATTTGTTGATTTCTCATTTCCTTCAGAGACAAAATTGCTACCGGATCCTTTGATAAGACATGCAAGCTGTGGAGTACCGAAACAGGCAAATGTTACTACACTTTTCATGGACACACTGCTGAAATTGTAAGCGTATGCTGCTTTATGCTTCCTAAAAAATTCAAGTTGACCTTGATTTACAATGAGACCTAGATCACTGTGTATGTTTTTAAGCCATTATTATACATTTTAGAATTAGTGATTTTCTTGGTTGTTTTATATTTTGAAAAATACTAAATAATACTATAATACTAAAGCTTATTTATCTATTTCATTGCTTTATATATCATATTAGTCATTAGAGCTTCCTTACAGCATGAGACTAATGCAAATCTATGAATAATGGTGTAATACAGAACATTATGTGAAGTAGGTATGTCTGGCATTCAACCCTCAAAGCACCATGATTGCAACAGGAAGCATGGACAACACAGCCCGATTGTGGGACATCGGCACAGGGGAAGAAATGGCCACGCTAGTGGTAGGTGTTTCCCACATATATATGCCTGCGCATATTTACTACTGGTTATACCAGAATTTTCCCTCCCTACTAAGGTTCCAATCAAAAGTTTGAATACATCTTCTCGAAACTATAGTTATTTGTGGTTTTAACTGTATATGCTTGTCTATGAACAGGAGTGGAAGTTGTTCTTAAGGACAAATTAGTTAAAATTTTAATCTTGGGTCCAACTGGCATGTTTAAGACACATTTGGGACACAGATTTCCCACTATCAAGCATGGAGGAGGCAGTGTTCTGCTTAGTAATTGCTTTACGGATGACAGTTGGTAATCTAGCAATTTCAACCAGCTTTGTTTAATAGAGTACTTCAAATGCTATGCTTTGTCTGATTGTGTAGTTCTCATTATGCCACAAGATACACACCTGTCTGGCTCAGACAGATAATGAGGGGCGATTGAAGCTGCCCTTCCCAGTCTTCAGACTTGAAGCTTATAGAAACTGTTAGGTTGAACCGGATTGGAAGAGTCAAAGCAAATTCACAAACAGATTGTTCTCTGAGAGCTGCTGCAGTGCCTAAGTTTCCTACTGAAACTTAAGTGATTGCCTCTTGTTTGTGACACTGTTATGTCATGGCAAATGGTGACTGTTTTGAGGAATCTAGCATTTTCAGTTTTCATGTCAATTTCTGTCAGCTTTCACACTTTTCATATTGTAAAACATGACAATTTCCAACTGGTGTACACAAACTTTTGACTTACTGTATGTACGATACATTTATTTTGCACTTATTTGACATTTATATTTAGCATTATTTGAATATATAGTGATAATGAAATGTAGGCTGCTCCCTCAATCCAAAGCCAGTGGGGAACCAGGGGATGCTATTATTACCTGTACTTATGTATCCATGTCACAGCTATTGGGGATTTTATTACTGGGACAACTAGCCCTGTGGACTGTGGTAAGAATTCAGTGTCAAATGGCTATTGTATGCATGACTGCATAGATTTTTCACAGTGTCCTTTTCCTCAGGGTCACTCAGCTGAAATTATCTCCCTATCATTCAACACGGTTGGAAACCAGCTGGTCACAGGCTCCTTTGACCACACGGTGTCACTTTGGGATATTCCATCAGGAAGGTGAGTTGAGCACAGTTTAGGTGTCTCAGATGGAATACAGTACCAGTCCTCTGCTGTTCTCTGTTCTCAGGCTTGTATACACATTAACTGGACACAGAGGAGAGATTAGCAGTGTACAGTTTAACTGGAGTGGTTCTCTTATCGCCACTGGATCCATGGATAAGACCTGCAAGGTTAGCTCTCTGTTATGGGGTACTAAACAGCAGGCTGGGGTACCTCTATTTTGAAGGATAAACAAAATAATTTTCCTTGTCAAATAGTAATAAAAACAACAGTGGCATAACCTCATAGACTGGAATGTGTAGTTTTATCATTTGAAATGTGATTTGGTGTGTCAAACTGATATTTTGTAATCTCACTACCAGGTGTGGAACACATTGAATGGGAAGTGTGTGACTACACTAACAGGTCACAAGGATGAAGTGCTGGATGTCTGCTTCAACTACACTGGCCAGCTTATTGCCACAGCATCTGCTGATGGTACTGTAAATGACACCCGTGCCACAAGACTAACAAATGAGCCGCTACTGTTCATTTTGCCAGAAATGACACATCTGCTGACATGACTGAGAGTTTAAATGGCCTAACGATATCTCTGAGAGTGAGTGTCTGGAGTAGAGAATGAATACCTTTGGGATAAACTGCCACAGAATTTAGTAAGTGTGCTCTATTGAAAACCACAGTGCGAAAGCATCGAAAGAGTTTGTCTTTATACGAATCCTCCTGTGGAATTAGTTTCTCTAATGAGATTATATTGAGTATCTTACCAAAAGTTCCACTGTACTAACAGACTGACTTGCACTTATAGGAACAGCAAGAGTGCACAGTGCGGCTAGCGGAGAATGCACTGCAAAGCTGGAAGGCCACGAGGGAGAAATATCCAAGGTGATGGGCCTAGGAACTCTGTCATCGCTACCATTCACATGCATTACTGTAAAGCTTTGTGATCTGCAGGCTAGCTAAAGGACATGAATGGCTCCAAAATCAATACCCATTCACTCCACAGAAAGAGTGGCCTGCCAAGGGCATGTGTCTTGGACAGGGATGCTATTCTTACATGTACCTAAGGTTTCATGTAATTGATATTGGGCTTCCAGTAGTGGGTTTTCATATTTTTCCAAAATGCTGTGCAGTAACAATGTTCTGTTCTGTGTTGTTTACCTGGACATGCTCAAGCGAGAATATTTGCATGGTAGTAAGGGACATATCATTTACATCCACATCACCATTTCATTTTGAAAGTCACAGCTGTTTGCTGAAATCTGTGGCAGAATGAATGCAATGATCACAATCTGTTTTCCTTGAGTGGTTCTTCTGAATGTCTTTTGTCTCTTGCTCTTAGTCATTATATTATCTTTGTCTGAATTATTTCTTTTTCTCCCTGGGAGGCTTCCTCCATTTAAATCCTGAAAATAGGCTGTTTTTTCAAAGCAGTTTTATAACACTACTGAATACACTGCAATGAAGTGGATTAAAACTATTTAGAAAAATTGATAAAGAATGAAAACTCTGACCCTGAAATCTGGCTTTATTATTATTATTATAGTTGTTGTTGTTGTGTTATTAAAATATAAACTGATGTGTGATCAAAGTAAAATTGCACCTGGAATGTAAATCCATTGTTTACTCAGGTCTCAGGTTTGCTCTGTCTTTTATCTTTTTCATCATCCACGCTCGATTGTCTCGGTTGATAGGAGTATTGTGAAAAATAGCAGTGTTACTTGAGGGAACATGTTTTTCGGTTAATGTATGATCTGGCAACAAAAAAACCCAAAACATTTGGTGCTTTTTTAAGTTTATATTTATTTTTAGCTGATGTTTTACATCCAGGCCTCTTTGTAGCACCTGCGTGAAGTTGGCCGCCCATAAGTTTCAGATTTCAACCAAACTGGTCTCAATTGTACGTGCCACGTTTGTGCCAGATTGTGCCGTTAAAATTTTTTTGTGCTGTTTTAGTTTCTGAGATATAAATTTTTGTTTACATGGTGACGTCATCAGCGTGAAGTTGGCCCCCCATTTGCGTCTGATTTCCACCAGACCGATCGCAATCATGCTGCATTTGTGCTGGTTTGTGCCGTTAAAACTGTCCTTTATTTTCTGTGATACAGTGGTACCTCAGTTCTCGAACTCATTAGAACTCAAATTTCTTAAAAGTCAACCCAACCAGCTCGAAAAAAAGTGACCTAGAACTCGATCTGAATCTCAGAAGTCGAACCATGAATGCCGACCTAAGATAACTTGTACGCGCGGGGAAATGAGTCACGCGGCACGTCTCTCAGCGGAAACAAAGGGTAACGCTTCAGTCTCAGCCTCGCATTCACTGTGATAGCATCGTGCATGTTTTCACTAGCTGAATACATATATTTAGACAGTAAAAATACATTTAGACAATGTTAGACAGTAACGGTAATTATTATATAATAAAATACATTTAAAAATAAAGATTTCTTAATAATTATTCTAATTTCATTACTAATAAACCATTAATGCATTTAATTATAATAATATTGTCGTGGCGAGCAGGGAAGGAACAAAGACAAAGGCGCAGACATCAGGGTATCGGGGAATACGGGGTTTAATTACAGGCAAGGCAGGCAAAACGCAGACGGACAATACAATAACCAGACTGGGGAAACAAACTGAAACGTGGACGAAATGCAGAGGACTAATGACAACAACCAGAAACAGCTGAGCACACAGGAATTCCACACAAGGTTAAAGAGGGGGCGTGTTTTATGGAAGGAGCGGACGATCGGGGCAGGACACTTTTTTTTTTTAACTTTACATATTTTTTGTATACATTTATTTTCTTACTTTACAAATTATTGTTTTGATAAATGTGCTTAGATGTGTTTAGTACAGTATATGCTCTTCTTGTTTTATCCTGTTCATTTTGTGTTTAAATGCTAAAAAAAAAACATATTTAGGTGTAATTTTTTGGGGCCGGGATCCAATTAATTGGTTTTCCATTATTTCTTATGGGGAAAATTTGATCAGAGCTTGAACTTTTTAGGATTCGAACCTGAGTTCTGAACGGATTAAGTTCGAGTTCTGAGGTACCACTGCATATTGTCCTCCTTCCTCCCCTGCACTCCTAGTGTCACCAACTCTGGCGTTCACAAGGGAAAGGGTTACCTCCGGTGTTATGCCGAGTATTGCATGCCTGGTGAGAATTGCATGCACCTCGTGAAAATTTGGGGGATGCAAATCTCGGCAGCTATGAAATCAGACTTGCTGAATAATGCACCCCCCTTTAATTTTCAGCTAGACAGCATGCACAATCTTACGTTGGTCATGTAGTTTTTTTTTTTGAGCGCGTCTGTGTGTGTGATGTGCTTTACCACTGTAAATGGCACACAATCACTTTTCACACCGCAAGAGCTACTTTCCATACTGTCGTTTTGCTTTTTCACTCCCACATCTCAAGGAATGAACATACTGTGCTGTGATGAGTTGGTAGAACAGATGATATGCTGGGTCAAGCCTGTACGTAACGAGGCAGTTTGTAACAGTCGGTCATTTGTGAAAATATCTAGCACGATCCTGAAATGCGGTATCTGGCTGGCGAGGCTGACTAAGTCTACGTACAGCTTTGTCGCGGATTCATCAAATGCTCCACCTTCTGTTAACATGAGAAACACGAGCCTGAGGTGATTATGTAAAGGCATAAACTAAGAGGTATAACTCAGAAAAAATAACAGTACAGACAATTTTTAAACGGCACAAACTATTGAGACTGGTTCAGAGGTGAATGGTGGGCTAACTGAGGAGGAGTCACGTGACCATGTAAATAAGCAATATCTCAGCACAATGGACAGTTTTAATGGCACAAACCAGCACAAACGCAGCACACATGAATGCGATCGGTCTGGTGGAAATCAGACGCAAATGGGGGGCCAACTTCACGCTGATGACATCACCATGTAAACAAACATTTATATCTCAGAAACTAAAACAGCACAAATAAAATTTTTAATGGCACAATCCGGCACAAACGTGGCACATACGATTGAGACCAGTTTGGTTGAAATCTGAAACATATGGGGGGCCAACTTCACGCAGGTCTTTGTAGCTACTAGCTAGTTGCACTCCTATAAATACTCCAAAAAGCCACCAGAAGCAACCATGTTTACTAAAATCACAGGTATAAGTCTAGAGTTTAGACTAGCAAATGTTATATATTTCAAAAAGATTAGCTTGGCCCTTTGACCAAGATAATTTCCTTTAAAAACATCCATCCTGCTTCTAAACACTTTCCTGGTAAGGGTCACAGTGTTGTTTTTAAAATACTTTTAAAAGTGTTAAAGTGTTCTTTTTCTTAAATGTGCATAATTACAAATTTTATTCATACTCTTTTTAATGTAATAGAAAGATATGCTCATCCTGATTTTATTTTATTTTTTACAATTCTCACATTGTCTTCTAATCTTTCTTATCGCTCTCTTGCAGCTCCATAACTCCTGCACTCTTCTGCTTTTTTGCAGATCTGCTTCAACCCACAGGGCACTCAAGTGCTAACAGCCAGCTCAGATAAGAGTGCGAGGCTGTGGAATGTGGATTCTGGCTCCTGTTTGCAGGTTTTGCAGGGTCACACAGACGAGATCTTTTCCTCAACCTTCAACTATGAAGGTGATATCATCATCACAGGTATTACATTTGTGTCAATGAACTTAAACTGTTGTGCATGTGTCCATGAAAGAGGACCTGTGAGTTTATGTTTACATATATATTTGTGCCAGTTCGTGCAACTTTACATGCACTCATTCCCATCTCTCTGTTACAGGCAGTAAGGACAACACCTGTCAGATCTGGCGCTGACAGAACTATACAGTGTAGATAAGCTGTTGGGGAATGATTTTTGTGCTCTTTAAGAGATGTGCAGTGAAATATATAGTGTTATTTTTGTAATTGTAACCCCACTGCTTGAACACCTTGTACAGTACACACCTAAGTTTAACATATAAAGATTGCATTAATGTTTTGGATCTTTGAGCTATGGGTATTTGTACTTGACATACGTTGTTTGACTCCTGCTATGTCTGAGAGTTTCTAGCATGATTGATTGTGTCACATGTGCTTGCCCTAAAACAGATGTTTATGCATTTCCCACCCTTTTTCTTTTCAGGATGCATTACAACTGGAAAATACACATTTTGACAAATTTATTAACACTCACTTATAGTTAGAACGGTCTATTTTGAATGCTAATACAACATTACAGTAACAGTAACACAGGTCAAACAAAACATTCACATAGAAATTTGTTTACACTGAAATCTATATTCTACTTCATAAATCAATAGTATTAAGAGCATTGTATTCTAGTGCAGTCATTTCAAATCTACAGTATATACAATTATGTAAAATAATTTGACATGATCACAAATTACTTTAAAAATTGCAATAAAATTAATGGTGCATGACCTGATTTATTTCATTATTTTTCAATGCATGTGACTTTGTAGAAAGACAGGATAATAGTGAGTTGAATGATGCAACTATCTGTGGTTTGAGCTTCAAATTAAAAAAATATATTAAAAATAGCAGGCTAAATGTTTGCTTTGCATCTATTTTTTTCTTATTACATATAATGTTTTATTCCTGTGCATTTTAAATGAGAAACATGCTTTAAAGGGATCAATGTTGCAATTTTTTTTTCCATTTTTTAAAAAGTGCAATCAATATATCTTTCACCCTGGTGACAGGTGACGATGGTTGAGGGTGGTTACAGTAAGGGTCTTTAGTTAATTTCAAAGACAGTAACAATGTTGATGAAACTGAAACACGACACTGAAACAAACACAGCAAGCTGGGCTGCCACCACAGGACAGAAACAGTTGTAGTACTGATGCGATTCGGTGGGCTTCAAATGAAAGGGAGGGTTTTGACTGTGGTGGGTGAGGTCTATTTGGTGGCCAGCAGCCAATCGAACAGGCTGGAAACAGAGTCCCTGTTCTCTTCCTGGAGTTTACAAAACTGCACCATGGCATGGAAGAGGTCTCCGACTCGCCAGGATTTCTGGGTAACCAACTGCACAACCTCTAGGAACTGCAAGAAGCCATACATAACCTGAGGCTTGCACATACATCAGGGAAAACACATTACTCATGCATATTTCATACTTATGTGATGCATTTATGTGCTTCACTTGTTTTACAAAGAAATTAAAGTTATCATAATGAACATGCTGATTTGGTGGGTCATGGGTACCACAGTAGCCTCTTACCTCATATCTGTGTGTGTGAGATTGTTGCATCTCATAACCCATGTTGTGGTTAATACCTCTCACAGTACAAAGACTTGTAGTAATGGTAAGTGTTGCTCACAGAGTATAAATTTATGTGTATGCATCCCGTCCAAGGTGCACCCCAGCATTGTTCCCTGTGCTGCCTGGGATAGACTCCAGGCCCCCTTGTGACCCTGACCAGGATAAGTGGTCGGAAGATGGATAATGAACAACTAGCTGCAAACTGGTTATCCTCTAGATCCATCTTGGAGGAACAAAAACCCACCTTTTCTCTCCTCTTGACTTGAGACTTCTTGAAGTAGATGGTGGTGATGCCTATCTCTGATGCTGCAATCCACTGCAAGGCTGCTTGCATTTCAGAGTCCATAGAATTAGGCTCCAGGTCAAGATTCATCACAAGCATTTCTCTGTGGCTACTGCTGCCACCCACGGAATGGCCAGACGTGCCCTCTATGACACATGGAGACACATTGGAATATATTACACCATCTCCCAAGGGCTCTGCTGTTATTCAGAGAGTTAGTTCAGAGGGCTAGGTGACACAAGCAATTAGAGCTGTCATGATTACATGTAAACTTCATTATTGAAAAGCATCAATTAAAACTTTTATTTTAGTTTAATTTTCAAGTTTGCGTATGTGCAGCACCCTACATTAAAACAAATGGCAAATTCAGGCATTGTGATAAATTACAGAAAGCTTTGGTGTGCCTCCTTGCGCGGGGACACGCATGGGAACCCCTGTCATCCAGCGCCACTAATTCTGTGGGAAACACTGGGTACATATTAAGGGTGTAACAGTCCTGAATCCAAGACCGAAACCGCCGAGATCATGAACATTTGTATCTTCCGGTGTTGTGCTCTAAACTGCCCCCCTGCTGAGAGGCACATCCCTCAGCCAGGAGCCGAATGTCCAGTAGGAGGTGCAATGTAGGAGAGGTTTATAACTGCTATCTGATACCCTTACCCCAAACCTAACCCTAACCATAAACCTCTCCTACTCAACACTGCCCCTCCAACTTGACACTTGGCTCCTGGCTGCAGCAAAATATACTTGCCCCTACCACAGATTGTCTCCCCTGACATAATCGCTCTTTTTAAAGGCAATGTCCCTTCGCATCTCCTGCGTGGCAGAAGCACCACTGGTTGTAACTTAATTTTTCTTGCCTTAAGCACACTAAAAAAATTCACATTACTTGTTTATTATGATATTTTACAATCAAACCTTAAGTTAATTCATTCTGCTTGAATATTGTTGCTATTCTGTCTTTTTTCATAAAATGAAAACTAACTACCTACTTGGCACCGTCACACCTGGAAATGATGTGATATCGAACACCAAAAATAATCAGAAGAATAATCTAAAATACACATACCACCTGTGGACAGTAAGGACTAACAAGTACTCCGTATTTCCTTATTTCCGCCATAAGGAAAAATAAGAAAAAAATAAGGAAAAATAAGGAGTTATTTTATAGCAGGCTACTTTGCCACAGAATTCCCAACCCCAACCCCTGTCTAACTCAGGTTGGGAAAATCCTACAGGCACCAAACCTGCACCAGTTATTTATATTTGTGCGTTATTTATGCTGCAGAAATTATTTTGAGCTGGTCCATAAGGAAAAAATTATAGGCAGGGGGGCATTTTACACAGGCCACTCTGCCACAGAATGCCCTCCTCCCATCTAATTCTGGTTGGGAAAATGCAACAGGCACCAAACTTCCACCAGTTGCTGATATTTGTGCCTTTTTTGTGCTGCAGAAATCATTTTGAGTTGGGCCATAAGGAAAAAATTCTAAGCAAGGGGGCCTGTGTTCAACACTGATTGGAAAATACTGGAGATATCCATTATCTTAAAATAGAAAAAAAGTATAGAATAACTTTGTTTGTAATTCAAAACAGTAAAATTTCAAAAGTTGTCAGAAAAACACTTAAAAGAATTTGTTTATTTATTTGCTTGTTTGTTTATTTGCCAGATTTGCTGTGACAATTGTGAGCAGTGGTTTTATGTAAGTGCTCAACATCCTCCATTGGACAAAAAGTACTCGTGTCCAACATGCATGTGACTATAATATTAGCCCCCCTATGAAAACTGTGAAATTTTGTATATAAGTGTAAAATTGAATGAATGTTTTGGATTTTAAAAAAGAGTTACTAAGAAAGTTATTGAAATTCAAACCTTTTTTTCCATTTTTAAGATAATGGATATGTAACTTGTTATCTGTGCTGTATGAACGCAGTTTATAATGAGTAGTGAAAATTTTATGACTTTTGATTACTTTTGGTGTTTGGTTCTATGTCATGTCATTTCCAATTGTGACAGAGTATGAATTTTATGAATATTTTATGAAAAAAGACAGAATTGCAAAAATATTTAAGCAGAAAGAATTCAACAAAGTGTCAAAAAAATATTCAAGTAAATGAGCTGCTTCTTGTGACTGAAGGTGACTTCACAATGAGCACAAATGAGTATTGTTGAAAGGCACCCCATCCAGGATTGATTTGTGCCAAATTGCTATAAGTTCTGTGTGTGTGTGTGTGTGTGTGTGTGTGTCTGTACAAAAATAAAGTAAAAATGAAATGAGAGAATATTCACCATCCACATTATCCTGGCTGCTCTTTATAGATTCCTTTTCAGCTGTTGCACTAAAGAGGGGAGACATCAGCATTAAGAAAATTCTTTCACAACCTCGGCAAAGAGAGTGAAATCACCAGCACACATTAATAATACCTGACCAGCGTGCTTGGCAAGAGGATGTCTGAGAAGGTCTCCAGGTCCGCTATACCGAGACTTGACGCACTACTGTTACCGTTTCTGAAAATCAAACAGACTTTTACTTACAGTTTCTTCATCAATAGGCAAGGCAAGCTAATTTACATAGCACATTTTCAAACACAAGCATCATTCAATCTGCTTTACATAAAATAAGATCAAGCAATCATTAAATAATAATGCCAAGTGATGCAGCTGTAGCCCAATAAATAGCAAATCCCACATAAACACAAGCTGCCCCTATTCTGCTCCCTTGCTATATATTTCTCTCATTTACATTCTCTCTAATACTCCGCACAAATATTTTTCCTCTACATTAGTAATAAAAATGAAACAACGTATGCTTTTCAAAGCTCACAGTTTTTCTTCTTTATTGATATAAAGTCAGGTGCCCATGTCTCAGGTTATAACTGTAAAGGTATGCTGAGTCATTTACTGACTAAATACAAGGCATAGTTCCCAAGAATTATACTTCCTTATCTTAAATGATATACTGAATCTTATCTTAACCATTTCCAGTTCATGTGCCCATGCCCTATTCTGCCTGGCACTGGCTCCTGGCCACCTCTATGATTCTGTACTGCATAAACTGTTGAAATATTGGTGGATTGTTGGAGTCAAAAATGCAGAGCTTGTACTGGCCTTGTTTCAAAAATAATACTTAACCAAACACATAAAACATATACTTAATACTGCCAGGTGGATGAAATGTTCAAACTGACCTCATGCAAAGCCATTTTTCTTACCTTCTTAGGAAATCAGGGAAATTGTGTCACATTTGCAGTAACTAACATTTATAAGAGTTATCACCCATTATTCCCAGTGCTGTGTGGGAAGTGCTTCACAATGTTTAACAAGTAGCCATCTGTCTGCTTTCAGAATTGTAGTGCTTATAGCAGGGGTACTCGAATGGCAGATACAATTTAATCCGTACTGCATGATCAACTCCCCCCCGTTGGCAAAATGCCTGCCCCCCAAGAAAAAAAATAAAAAATCTGGCCCATGAACTTTGGCTTAGTGTTGCTGAAGGAATTTGGACCTTGGGAAAAAATAATTGAGTACCCCTGCTCTATAGTGTTTCAGTCTGAAAGCAGTTAGCAGCAGTAAGTGTAGCATCAAAACAGCAGCAGAATGATGGGCCCATGAGTAATGGTCAAAAACTGCATATTGTGAAATGATGGCATGAAGACAGTGCTGACCCATCACTTAGCTGGATATAGCTGCTTGTCTCCTCATGGGGGTCGTCGTCCGTAGCGATGTGAGACCAGCTTCCTGTGCTCTCCTCACTGCTGGCACTAAGAGGAAGCTGCTCCTGCTCACACCCAGCAGACACTCCTGCCCTCTCATTCTCGCTGCCGAAAATGACAATATCACCCATAAACACAAGAGCTCAGTCAGAATACAGTGTTTTCACTGCTAAACGGGATCAATAAGAAACCGTTTTGTGTCCAAAGCTGAGTAACTTTATTGAGTAATATGACTCTATATTATACAGCTGAGTGCGATGGTGCTGTGTTTCTGTGTGATGTCTATTATAGAATACATGTGACACTACTCACAGAAATACATCTAGGGCCATCTAGTTTTTTGTACCCAAAACTGAATTGAATTAAACTGAACTTTATATGCTTATGAGAAAATTTTAATTCATGTGAACTCCCCCAAGACGTGTAACATCCTAAATTGACTTTGTCTTCAACATTTATTTTAGTTGGACTCAAGGTCATACCATTGCATATGAGCATACAAAAGCATGTTTTTATGAAGATACTGGAAAAGTTAAAAGCTCTGTTTGATTATTTTTCTCAGATTGCTGCTTTAGGCAGATTGGAACTGAGAGATCAAAGGTTCAACATACTGAAGGTTCCCTGAGGCTTTGCTGGGTTTACAATATTCTTGAATGTGCTCACTCTTCTCACAGCATGAAGCTAATCTCTAGGAAATAATACACATTAATCATTATTTAAAGAAGAGAAACATACCTGGAGTGTTTCACAAATTCTTTGCATTTCAGAGAAGAGTTTTTCTGGGGCAATTCCCTGATGTTCTTTGTGTCTTCTGAGAGATTTTCCTTCAGATCTCCCTCAATGTGAATGAGAGGCACTTTCCTGGACTGTTGTGGTAGAGAGCTTGCATTGATATTATCATTCCCTTTAGTGCTAGCCTGCTGGTCCTGATAATTATTGTTACTCCAGCATGGCCGTGACTGTTTGAAGCCTCTTCTCCTTTCCCCCACTGGACGGGACTGCTGGCCACGTAGATTCTCTGACTGGCTCCCAAGTACAGACTTCCCACTTTCAACAATATCCGCTGCCAGACGGTTGGCAAACAGCTCAACCTGTGGCTGCAAATCAGCTGGAACCTCTAGATCCACACTGTCCTCTGGGTTCATGATGATCTTATTTTTGCGCATTAGGGACTCAATTGAGTTTGACCAGGTTTCATGGATCAGCATATCTGTAATCTGGTCTGTTTTGCCCTTTTGATACAAACAGGAGTCTGACTTACAGAGGACCATGGCTGCAGTGTTAGCAGGAAAAATATTAAGACTGTCTCCATGTGAATTTCGAGCAAAGCCATCAAAAGAATTGGCTTTAACAGGGGAGTTCACGGTGAGTCTTGAGTCAGATGAGCGCCGGTCGGGCATTGATGATTGTCGGAAACATAAGGGTGTCCTGTGAGATGGGGGCAAAAGGCTGTTGTTCCACTCTCTAGTTTTTGATATACTATAATCTTTACTCTCCTTATCAATGTCTTTCAACATGAACCTGTAGAACTCCTCTGTGATGCTTTCTGTGCTTGACTGCTTGGAGAGGCAAGTGGACCTCACGTTCAAATGTCCATTCTTCTTGGTGACCACCTGTTGCATAGCAGCATTTAGGATACTGCTGGCATTCTTGCCTGCATAGTAATCCAGCAGCAGGTCAAAGCCCCGGCCTTCATTCTCCATCTGGTTTACCATGAACCTGGAGAACTCATCTGTAATACTTTCACAGCTGGACTGCTTGGAAATTGAGCTTCCTCGACTGAGGTTCTGACCCAAACGGCTTCCTAGGCCAAGTGTGTGGGCCAAGTTGTAGGTGTCTGTGTCCTCCTCCGGGATGCTCTCATAGCTCGATGCTTTCCCCCGGCTCCAACGTTCCATGGCTGTGCACTGAAGCCGAGTCCTGGGCTGACCTGGCTTGGAGGTATCTATCAAACTAAGCTCTGGACAGTTCATGATCTTAGCGGTGACCTCAGAGGCAAACTTTGCAAATGGGTCAGTTGGTTCATCTGAGATCCCTGACTCATCTACAACACGGTTCACCAGTCGCTCCATAAGTTCTGGTTGCTCTTCTGTCTTGCGCTTGATCTCACTAAGGCGTGGTGGCCGGTGTTTTTTGGTGACCACTGCACCACACTGTGCTTCCTTTCTTCTTGCTGTGCGACATGGTAGCAGGTAGCTTTCGGGACCTTCCCTAACTCTGGTCTGCAGTGAACAGAACCAGGGCTGCTTTCCACTTGAGTTCTCTAGACATATTGCTGCCAGTTCTGTAGCCATGGAAACTACAGTGGTGGCCAGGTCATCTGCAAAACAAGACATTGTTGATCTGGTTTCTGCATCCTTTTTTGTCACAACAGCAGACCCTCCAAAAGACAAGGAATGCTGAGGAGTCAACTGGGTGATCAAAGAGAATGACTTGTGTTCACCATCTCTTAAAACTTTGGCTTTGTGTATCTCAGTATTCATTGTGATTCCATTATTGATGGAGACATCTGATGAAGATTGCTTTACTTCTAAAGAGAATATTTTTTTGTTTTCTTTTGTGTTATTCTGCTGACCCAAATCACTCTGAAGGAGAGAGCTTTCTGTAACAGAAAGTGATATCTCATTCATCTGATCAGCTATAGTCTGGTCTTTGGCCTGGACAGAACTTGAATTAGCAGAACCACATATCTGTTCCTCTTCTTTTTTTTTCATATATTTGCACTCAGTGACACCTGACCTTATATTTATGCCTTGAACGAGGTTGTTCTGTTTTTCTGAAGTATCAGGCTGGATAGTTTGAGCAAGATGATGTATTCGGCTTAATAGTTCCTTGCTTTTCCTAATATCAGGATTGTCAAATTTTTTAACATCATCATCTTGTCTATCACCTGATCCATTATTAGTTGTTAAAACGTCTGTGATCTTCTTTGATGTGATACAGAGAACATCAAATAGCAGATTGTTCACATACTCATATAGAAAACTGTGTGTGGTGGGGAATAATGTAATATCAGAACCTTCAAGTTTTTTCTTTTCGATGCTTTTCTCCCATGCATGCTTGAAAATACCTTCAGCAATCACATGAGCAAACTCCTGCACCTCTCTTTCATCTGAACAGGACAATTTAGGATGTGAAATACTATTCACAATCTTATCATGAGTAGATTCCAGGAAGTCCCTAACACTCTGGTCTTCTGACTGACTTAGCACAGCAAATGCCTCCTTGAGGAGGATTTCAGCAATATTTGCACAAGATGCCTTGATGCTTGTTCCCTCAGCAACACTGTGTTGGAAAGTAACAGCAGAGGAGGCTTCAGTTGTAGATATTAACCCAATGGAAGGACAGCAGATCCCTGGATCAACTTTTTTACCAAGCTCACCTGCATCCTCAGCAAGATCAACAATGGCAATAGCTCCTGCCACCTGTACCATGCCACACAGAGCAGAGGAAAAAGAGTATTCCACACCGTCTTTCTGTTCTACATCCTTATCTCCTAGCCTTGGCTGAAGTGATAATTGTTCAGTCACTTGAGGGCTAGAAATTGTACCAATAACATTAGCAGCGCATGCTAGGGCCAGCTCCACAGATCTGGGGGGGTGTCCCGATGAGAAGAAGCCACAGGCCGGAGGCATGTTCTCAGAGGGTGCAGAAGCTGACATCTGCTCTGACAAGATGGGCAAGGGGCTTGTTTCTGACCATTCTGACACTTCTTCCTGGTTATCAGGACTTTGCACAATAACAATTTTAGGGAGCTCAAAGGAATAGGTTGGTAGCCGAGGAAGTTCTTCTGGAAAGGGATGTGTCCCTTCGGACATGCTTGAATCTGCATGGGTAGCTTTTGTCGCTTCATCCTGGGAGAGGCAAATGAAGGCATCTTGCAGGACAGACTCTGCTAAGTTAATGGCGTAATGGCCAGTGCTCTCGGACTGAGCTTTGCAGAAGGTTCTCTCAGACTGAACCTTGCAGGAAGATCTCTCAGACTGAGCCTTGCAGGAGGGTCTTTGTTGTGCCCCACTGGAAAAGCTCGCAGGAAACATCTTAAAGGATGCCTGGATTGTCACTTCTGAATCATTGTTCCTTTCTTGTTTGCTTATGTGTCTTTTGTGATGTCTCAGCCTGCTTCCCTTCTCCTTAACGGCCACATCAGTGCTCTCTGCATCTGCAGAGAAAAACATTTGCACCTGTTAAGGCTACATTTCACCATCTAACAAAAGCAGGATAACAGATGCCTGTGTGTGTTTTAAGCTAGTAAGTAACCTCTTTGATTTTATCTAGAAATGATATACAGTAGTCCCCCCATATCTGCGGGTGATAGTGACACGTTCCAAGACCTACCACAATTATCAGTGAGTCATCTGCACACCCCATATATTTTGTAATATTTATAATATTACTAAAATATGGTAATTGAAAAATAATTGATAAATTATGCACAGTAAGACTACCAAAATTAAGTACAGTATTAATAAAGTACATTGTATTATGTAGTACTGTACAGTATTCTCTCAAATGCCATCAGGAAGCCTTATTATCAGGAGACAATAGAGCAATGAAAAAAATATGAATCAAGGGATAACAGAGCAATGAAAATCATGCTTTTTATATCATTCAAAGAATAGAGAAATAATGAGAAAACAGGTTATTAAACATTTGGCTCAAATATTTTTTCCATACTGTGGTAAACCATGAATAACTGAAATCACAGTTACTAAAACCATAGATATGGGGGGACTGAAATTATTTATAGTACATAGAATGACTAGTAATATAACAATATAATAATGTTAGTTCAGTGACAACTTGTAAGGAATGGAGATTTAAGATAAAAGTTGCAGAAAATTCATTTGAAATGAATTTTGAAACATTAGAAATATTTCATATAGATTTAAATCAGTTAAGTAAAACAACAGAATTTAATTACATTGAAATTTAACTTGGGTAACACTCTAGTTGAGGGTTATGTATTAATTAACCACAAATTAAATCATAGTTATGTACTGATTTCATGTTTGTTCATCATTTAATGAATTAAGACATATCTTTTCCCTCAAGGAAGTACTTATATTTGTTACTATATCTGTTAATTCTGTAAAACTTTGTGAAGTTTGTGTACTAAGGAACTACTGAAGGAAGAAGTGATGATTAACTGAAATACTGATCTCATGATTGTTCATCATTAATGTATCGCAACTTATCCTTTATCTCAAGTAGCTACTCTATTTTCATGACTTCAGTAATAACTGAGTTACTAAGTATTTGTGCACCCTCAAGTAAAGTATTACCCACAACTTATAATATGTGGGACAAAGACTAAACGGTCTATGGACAATATAATGTATGCTATAAAAAGCAATGATGAATTAATTAGTTGGATGGTTTTGGTACACTGTGTTGTAGTACAATGGGTCAGGTGAGATTTACAGTAAGAGTTTTTAATAACCATTTCGTAGTGCATCTTCTTCACTGTCGAAGTACTCAGATGCTGTCAGAAAGTCATCTTCAATGGAGGACAAGGAGCGGTTGGTGTCATCCTCAACTCGATGGCCTACCAAGTGGTTGCAGGTCTGCCGTTCTTGGCACAACTCCAGGCCAATCAGGAACTTGTTTACCTCGAAGACCATGCTACAAGGACTGGTAGGTTGCTGTTTACCCCCATACTGGACCAAGCAGACACCCGCACACTGGTTCTGAGAAGAGATCTAACATATATAAAAATATATAACACATTAATGTAACCTCCTAAAACCTTCTAGCCTCCTGCACCTGTACTGTAAGTAATAATAGTCCATTATCTCCTTTAACAAATTATTGTCAACACATCTTTTATAATATTACATTCTATGTAATTCATTTATTATATATAATAAAAATGCCATGGCCACTTCTATATAGAAAACTAACAAATCATTTTTTCTGTTGTTGTCAGAGACATTTACTAAATTTGCACACTTCACAGAATTGATAAAATAAAATTTAGAATCATCAAAAATGTAAAAATATATTTTTCATAATAATGCATTAAAATACAGCTTTCCCTGTAAAAATGTGCTTCCGAGAAAGGTTTGATGGTACTGATAAACTTTACTGTCATGAACACTGATAAGCCAAAATATTATGACCCTCCTCTCCCCCACCCCTACCCATGTGATGTGAATAATGTTCACAATTCTATGTCAGCGGGTGCTAGTATCACATGACAGCTGTCTGCTCCCGAGAAATGTGGTACCCAACTGAGCTGGAAGAGTACATGTTCACTATCAATGTGCTGTGTGCCATGACACATTAGTAATCATCATCAAAATTATGTCACGGTTGCCCTTCTGTTGGTTTGTACCAAACGTGATCTTTAACGTTCCACATTGAATTTGCAAAATCATGGTTGCTCAACATCCTGTTGTCAGTTCCTGATTTTTCCCTCCTCTGATCACTCTCAGTAAGTACTTACCACCGTTGGCTGTGAATACCCTACAAGCCTTGCTCTAAACCAGAGGTCTAGCATAATTAGCCCTTTTTAAAATCACTCTGACTTTTATCCCTGCCCATATCTTCTACATCCAACATGCTAATTACAACTTTCAAATACAGTGGTACCTCAGTTCTTGAACTCATTAGAACTCAAATTTCTTAAAAGTCAAACCAACCAGTTCGGAAAAAAATGACCTAGAACTCGATCTGATTCTTAGAAGTTGAACCGTGAACGCCGACCTAAGATAACTTGCATGCGCGGGGAAATGAGTCACGTGGCAAGTCTCTCAGCGGAAACAAAGGGTAACGCTTCAGTCTCAGCCTCGCATTTGCTGTGATAGCATCGTGCATGTTTACACTAGTTGAATACATACGTATATTTAGACAGTAAAAATACATTTAGACAATGATAGACAGTAACAGTAATTTTTATTATACACTGCTCAAAAAAATTAAAGGAACGCTTTAAAAACACATCAGATCTCAATGGGGGAAAAAATCATGCTGTATATCAATACTGATATGGACTGGGTAATGTGTTAGGGATGAAAGGATGCCACATTGTTTGATGGAAATGAAAATGATAAACCTACAGAGGGCTGAATTCAAAGACACCCCAAAAATCAAAGTGAAAAAATGATGCGGAAGGCTGGTCCATCTTGCCGAAATTTCATTGCAGCAACTAAAAATCCTACTCAGTAGTTTGTATGGCCCCCACATCCGTGTAGGCATGCCTGATAATGTTGGGACATGCTCCTAATGAGACGACGGATGGTGTCCTGGGGGATCTCCTCCCAGATCTGAACCAGGGCATTACTGAGCTCCTGGACAGTCTGAGATGCAACCTGGTGGCGTCGGATGGACTGAAACATAATGTCCCAGAGGTGTTCCATTGGATTTAGGTCAGGCGAGCATGGGGGCCAGTCAACGGTATCCGTTCCTTCATCCTCCAGGAACTGCCTGCATACTCTCGCCACAGGAGGCCAGGCATTGTCGTGCACCAGGAGGAACCCAGGACACACTGCACCAGCGTAGGGTCTGACAATGGGTCCAAGAATTTCATCCTGATACCTAATGGCAGTCAAGGTGTCGTTGTCTAGCCTATAGAGGTCTGTGTGTCCCTCCATGGATATGCCAACCCAGACCATCACTGACCCACCACCAAAACGGTCTTGCTGAATAGTGTCACAGGCAGCATAATGTTCTCCGCAGCTTCTCCAGACCCTTTCACTTCTGTCACATGTGTTCAGGGTGAACCTGCTCTCATCTGTGAAAAGCACAGGGTGCCAGTGGTGGACCTGCCAGTTTTGGTATTCTATGGCAAATGCCCATCGAGCTCCATGGTGCCGGGCAGTGAACACAGGGCCCACTAGAGGACGTTGGGCCCTCAGGCCTCCCTCATGAAGTCTGTTTCTGATTGTTTGCTCAGAGACATGCACAGCAGTGGCCTGCTGGAAGTCATTCTGTAGGGCTCTGGCAGTGCTCTCCCTGTTCCTCCTTGCACAAAGAAGCTGATACTGGTCCTACTTATGGGTTAAGGACCAGGACCTTCTACGGCCCTGTCCATGGCACATTGCCAGAAGCACCATCATGATGCACCATCCTGGAGGAGTTGGACTACCTGTGCAACCTCTGTAGGGTCCAGGTATCACCTCATGCTACCAGTAGTGACACTGACTGTAGCCAAATGCAAAACTAGTGAAAAAAATTGTCAGAAAAGATGAGGAGGGAAAAATGTCAGTGGCCTCCACCTGTTAAACCACTCCTGTTTTGGGGGTCGTCTCATTGTTGCCCCTCTAGTGCACCTGTTGTTAACTTCTTTAACACCAAAGCAGCTGAAACCGATTAACAACCCCCACTGCTACTTAATGGACTAGATCAATATCCCAGAACTTAAATTGAGTAGATGCTATACTCTGATTAAAAAGTGTTCCTTTAATTTTTTTGAGCAGTGTATAATAAATACATTTAAAAATAAAGATTTCTTGTTAATTATTTTAATATAATTAATAATAAACCATTAATACATTTAATTATAATAATATTGTCATGCCGAGTGGGACAGAATGGAGACAAAGGCACAGACATCAGGGTATCGGGAATATGGGATTTAATTACAGGTACAGTTGTGTTCAGAATAATAGCAGTGTTTCTAAAAAAGTGAATAAAGCTGAAAATCCTTATAATAGTTTTTATTTCCAGACATGCAAATGCATCGGGAACACTAAAAATTCTATTTCAAATCAAAACAAGAAGAGAAATCCATCACATTTGTGTTATTCCTTTACAGAAAGTGAAGGAAAGGGAATATTATGCTGTTCAAAAAAATAGTAGTGTCCACATTCTTCTTTACAAACTCAAAGATTCACTGTATGAACTGTATAATGTTTTAAGATTTTGCTTTCCTTTGAATAATTGAACTAATATTTAATTGTATAACAACTGTTTCTGAGAAATGCTGCACATCTGTGTTGTATGGAGTCGACCAACTTCTGACACCTGTGAACAGGTATTCCAGCCCACGATGATTGGACTACATTTCTTGGTTTTGCCTCAGAAACAGCATTTTTGATGTCACCCCACAAGTTTTTTTATTGGATTAAGGTCCGAGGATTGGGCTGGCCACTCCATAAAATCAATCTTGTTGGTCTGGAACCAAGATGTTGCTTGTTTACTGGTGTGTTTGGGGCCGTTATCTTGTTGAAACACCCATTTCAAGGGCATTTCCACTTCGGCACAAGGCAACATGATCTCTTCAAGTATTTTGAGGTATTCAAATTGATCCATGATCGCTGGTATGTGATAAATAGGCCCGCCACCGTAGTATGAGAAACATCTCCATAACATGATGCTTGCACCATCTTGCTTCACTGTCTTCACAGTGTACTGTGGCTTGAATTCAGTGTTTGGGGGTCATTTGACAAAAAGAACAATCTTGCTTCCATTAATCCACAAAATGTTGCGGCGTTTCTCTTTAGGCCAGTCAGTGTGTTCTTTGGCAAATTTTAATCTCTTCCGCACATGTCCTTTTTTCAGCAATGAGACTTTGTGGGGGCTTTTTGCAGATACCTTGGCTTCATATAGGCGTCATCTGATTGTAACAGTACTCACTTTAGACCTTCTTTGATCTTCCTGGAGCTGATCATTGGCTGAGTCTTTCCCATCTTGGCTATTCTTCGATCCATTCGAATGGTAGTTTTTCATTTTTTTCCACGTCTTTTAGGTTTTGGTTGCCATTTTAAAGCATTCGCAATTATTCTAGATGAGCACCCTATCATTTTCTGCACTTCTTTATATGTTTTCCCTCTCCAATCAACTTTTTAATCAAGGTACGCTGTTCTTCTGAACAATGTCTGGAATTACCCATTTTACTCAGAATTTCAGAGAGAAATGCATTATAACCAGCATGTACAACATTTGCTGCCTTCCTTCCTTAAATAAGGCCCATAATTGGCACCTACTTTTTCACAGAATGAATGACCTCACTAATTGAACTTCACACTGCTATTATTTTGAACATGCCCCTTTCAAGTAATGATTCTGTTACACATAATCAGCAGCATGCATGTCATGACTGTTGGGTTTGTTGGTTTTCCATTACTCTACTACACCTACTAGTAAATTATTTGCCATGTAGAAATATAATTTCTACCAAAAACGGTGATTGATCAGGTTAGTGATGTCTGACTGCTATTATTTTGAACACAACTGTAATGCTACGTTCACACCGCGAACGTCAAAGACGCCAGCCGTCGCTCCCGCCGCCCTGAACGCGACGCTAGCCAACGCCGGAGACGCTCTCTGATGTCATAGAGTGGGCGGGGACAAGGCCGCTCAGAATGCCAGGCTCTGAGCAAAACAAACAAACGTGTAGCTTATATCTTTGCACCGAGTCCTGATAGGACATAATTTGTCAAATAAATATTGTTGTGAGCCAGTTATTTGCATTCCC